GGCCTGGAGCCGCAGGCACCTGCCCCTCAGCCCCTAGTCCGCTGCCCCGCCCCTCTCCCCCCCCTAGAAGCAGCTGCCCGCTCCCTGGGTGGGAAGGGGAAGGACTGGCTGGGACCCAAGAGCATCCAGTGGTGTGATCTGTTTTGTTGTCACAGATCATTGTCATGGTGGCTCAGGACACGCTGGGAAGTCAATGGCCTCCCTGCCCCCCCCCCCAGCAGGGGGCAGTTCCAGCAAGGCCTCTAGGGGGCGACTGCTGGCCCCTAAGGGAGTGGGGAGAGGCACACAGTCCCCTCGCAGGTCCCGGGCGTCCGGGCTGCCCCGAGCCGGCCACTGAGCTTCAGGGCCGCGGGCTCTGCACATGGGCCGATGCGCCTTCCTCACCCGCCTGCCCCCACGTGGCGGTGCTGTCCCCCCCCCATTTGGGGCCTCAGAGAGAACCCCAGTGAGAAAGAAGGAACCTCAGTGATGCGTTTTCAGTGTCATATTAACTAATAAACATGCTGAAGAAAAATAAGCTATAAAACCACGACGGCCGTCAAAAACATCCCCCTGCAGACGCCTCCCACAGCGCGACAAACCCCATCCCTGAGGGGCCAGCTCATCAGACCCAGCGATGCTCACTGAGCTTCCGCCTGCGCCCAGTTCTGGTGTAAAACACAGATCCTAACGGACGACCTCGTCCGCGAACAAGAGAGCCTGTGGCTGGTGGGGAGACAGACCAGGAGAGGCCTTGAATGAGAAGCCTGTTTCTGAGCCGGGAAGTGGGGGGAAGCTGTAGATAACCGTGGGTGCATCTGACCATGAAGCTGGGGCTCTGGCAGCAAAACAGGGCAGACTCCTCCGGGCGTGACTGAGCGCTGAGTCGCGGGGTCACTCCAACCAGGGCCCCCTTGGAGTGACCGCGTGTGCCCGGGCACGGGTGGGCCTCCGGGACCGGGGCCTGCGGAGCCATCGCCGGGGGCTCTGCCACTTCTCAGGGACCTCCCGGCTGGCAGCAGTCTTCCCTGTGGCTTTTCGATGCTGAGGGACGGGTACCCGGCTGTAACCACGGAGATGCTGTGAGCTCGATCCCACATTCCCTGGGGCAGAGCTGTGAGGCTGTGCCTGTGATTCCAGGCTGAACATCCCCATCAGCTCCTCCCAGAGCGCCTCCTCCCACCGCCCCCCCCAGAAGTGCCCCATATCATTTGCTAAGACTGTGTCCCGGCAGCCTCGGCCACACCAGGAACCCCCGGACCGACGCCCCGTTCACGCCACGTGTCAGGAAAGGCTGCTTCCTCCAGGCTTCGCCCCGCTTCTCAGACACAGGGTGCCCCCCTCTTCCTGCCGCCCCGGAGGGCTGGGTGAGCCACCTGGGACCTTGCTAATCCCACGGCTCCTGGAACTACCTGCCCAGCTGCTACACTGCCCCATCCTTGGCTCTAGACAGGTCTCTGGGGATTGCTAGTTATTGACCCTTTAACTGCTACTAAAGAGACACTGATCATAAGCCAGGCTGAAAGATCCGACCTTTTAGGCCGTTTTTCAAACATCTTCTTGTCCATTTATTTAAAAAAGAGTAACTTTGGGCTTCTACCAAGTAGGATCATCTTGGCAAGCAAGTATCTTACGTTTACAGATTACCCCTCGCCCTGAAGTTTTAAAGTACCTGAGATCAAAGACTGTCCGGATGCTTTCACAGGTCCGATAGAAAAGACCAAAGGCTTTAAAGACCCGGGAAACTTCCAGAGGCGGCTCACGCGTCTGAGAAACAGCCCGACAGGCATGTTCTCTTACGAGCGGCGTAGACATGGAGCACTTACTACAAGCCCCATCTCAGCCTCTCGGATCAGCAACCTCACCTGCCGGCGTCACTCCAGGCAGAAGTGGCAGGGAGCGGACGAGGACCCCGTGGGCTGGACCCCAAGGCCCGTCCACACGTGAGGATCCCGTGGGCTGGACCCCAAGGCCCGTCCACACGCGCCCCCCCCCCCCAGGGGGCTTATGCTTTTTCCATTCAGTTAAATGAGGTTTTAAGGAAAAAGCAAAACCCTCGCAGAGAAGAGACCTTATGCAGCACATGAAGAAAAAGCGGGGAGGGGGGGGGGAGCAGGTGAGAAGAATACCCCAGCCTGCCCTCAGAATCCTGCTTAGCGTTAAGGTGCTTAGCGTGTTCCAACTTTCTTCTTGAACCCTTAAAAATAATGCTTTGTTGATTTCAGAGAGGAAGGGAGAGGGAGATAGAAACACCCATGGTGAGAGGATCATGGATCGGCTGCCTCCTGCGCGCCCCACACTGGGGACCGAGCCCGCCACGGGGGTTCAGGGTTGAGGCTCAGCGGCTGAGCTGCGTGGCTCTTCTTTAACCCCCAGCCTCGCACCCTCCTGGTCTTGATGACGACGGCCACCCAGCCCGGGCTGCTCGGGCGAGTGGGGGAGGGCTGCTGGCAGAGGCCGGGTCCCGACTGAGTGTCCAGTGTCCGAACCCCCGAGTCTGACCAACCAGCACAGCCGCGGCCGCGCGGAGCCTCCCTGCAGGGTGAGGAGAAGCTGCTCATCTTCACAAAAGAGAAACGGGCTGGGTGTTAACGCCGGAGAAAGGCCGTCCCGGGACAGACCACAGACCGCGTGTCAGCTCCCCTTCACAAGAGGGGGTTCGGGCTGGCCCCTGCCGCCAAGAACCAGAACCACTGCACCCCCAGGCCCAGGGTGCACCCCCACCCCTGAACCCGGGGCGCTGTCTGCAAGGTCCGCCGTGGGCGGGGATTGGGATCCGTCAGACCCAAGCCCTCACTTTTCTGCTCTTTAAAAAGTTCAGGAAACTTTCCCAGTGAGGGCGACGCACAGGAACACGAACAGGAACAACGCACAGGCTGTGTCAGAGCGAGGGCTGCCGTGGCCCCGCCGTGATCTCGGCTGAGCTCCACCGGATGCGGGGACCGGCGGGCGAGCCGGCCCAGCCCCTCGGTCCGCCGGGCGGGGGAGACGAGACGCCCCGGGCCGGCCCCGCGCTGGGCGCCCCGCTCCGCCGGCCGGGCACTCGGACGCGGCTCCGGAGGCGGCCCCCGCCCGGCGGCGGCCCTTTGTGGCTCCGGCCAGCGGCGCGGCCAGACAATGAGCGGTCTGTGCGCAGCGCCGCGCCGATTGGCTGCGCCCCGAGCCCTGATGTCACGGGCCAGGAATGCGCGGCGGCAGGAAGGAGAGGATTTGGGGAGGGGGCCCCCATCCCGGCCCCAGGCCGCAGCCCGGCCGAGCCGAAGCCAGCGCCCACCGCCCGGCCGCCGCGCGCGCACCCCGCCGGCCGCCCCGAACAAAAGCAGCCGCGGAGCAACCCGAGACCGTTACAGCCTCCGGGACACAAACTTCTCAGTTTTCATCAAAAAAGAAAGAAAGAGAAAAAGGCACAAAAAGCCCTCAGGTCCCCGCCGATGGCAGCGCAGAGCGGCGCGCGCTTTGTCCCGAGGCGCGAGGTCCGGGAAGCCAGGTCCCGCCGGTCCGCGTCCGGGGCCGCGTCGGGGGGGCGGGGGGCGCTCGGCGGTCCCTCCCCGGGAACAAAGGGCCCGGCGGCCGCGCACCCCCCAACTTGGCCCGCGGCGCGCTCAGCAGAGGGGTGGGGGGAGGGCGCGGGGTCGGCGGCGCCCGGGGCGCACGGCGGGGGCTGTCCCCGGTCCCTCTCAGGCGGGTGGCCGCGCGGGGTGCACCCCGGCTGGAGGGCGGGCCCGGGACCCAGGCCCGCGCGCAGGATCCAGCGGCCCGGACCCGCCCGCCGACCGTCCGGCCGCGGCGGGAACAAAGCCCGGAGGCGCCGGGGCGGGAGGGGGCGCCGTCACTCCCGCCGCTCGACGTCCGGCTCCGCGAAGCCCGGGCGCGGGGCACCGCCCGGCCCGGGGACCCCACCCGCCGGCCCGCGCACCTTGTTCTTGACCTCGGCCGAGAGCCCGTAGGACGGGCCCTTGTTGAAGTGGGTCATGGCGGGCGCTGCTCGGGTCTGGCTCTCGGCTCCGGGCCCGGGAGTGGCCGCCGCGCACACGCTCCGAGCTCGCTCCCTGGGCGGCGCGATCCGACTGGTCCCGGAGCCCCGTCCGCCCGCAGCCCCGCACGCCCGGCCCCCGCCTCCGCCCGCCCGAGGGCTGGGCCGCCGCCCGCCGACCAATGGGCCGCCCGCTCCCGCCCCGCCGGCGAGGGGCGGCGCTGCTCCCCCGGCCCGGCCCCGCTCACGCCACCGCGGCCGGGCGCCCCTCCTCCGGGCAGGACGGCGGGGCGGGAGGGTGTGTGGGGGGTGGGGGCTGGGGGTGGGGAACGGGAGCGACCGGGCCGCCGAGCCTGGAATTCCAGTCCCCGCGCCGGGCAGGCCGCCCCCAGGGCGCGCTCCAGGCCCCCGGAGCGAGGACCCCTCCCGCGGCAGGACGCCCGGGAGCAGCCGCGCCGCCGGGAAAGGCCCCTCCGCGCCCGCCCGCCCGTCCCGCCCGCACCCGTGGGTCTGACTCCCCGCCGTCGCCTTGAAGGTCGGGGCCCGCACAGCCCGCGGGGGGCGCGTCCTCCTCCGGACCCGCCTCGGTCCGGATGGAGGAGACCCGGCCCCGGGCGGCCCGGCAGCGCCTCGCACGGAGACGGCGCCCGTTCGCCGGCCGCCTCCACCCCCACGGCCACCCTCACCCTCTCCCCTCTGATCTGGAGGGACCAGAACCCCGTTTCCCCGGGGCGCGGGCACTGCAGTGCACCCCGACACCCATGTACTCAGCCCCCAGCCACTCTGCCCCTCGTGCAGCTGAGGGAGCGGGTCAGGACCGATCGGGCGCCGGAGCCCCGTCGCCAAAGCTGCGCCTCCGGCCCCCGCCCCGCCCGCGCCCCCGCCCCGCGCACAGCTGGGGCCTGTCGGTCCCGGGTCCGGAGTGAGTCTGGGGGCCGGACGCGCCCACGGAGCCAGGTGAGGCCAGAGGAGCCACGCGAGGCAGCCTCACCAGGACCCCGTGCGCCGCGGCGGGAGGGGCGGCGGAGCGCAGGGAGGAAGTTTGCGCTTTGCCCGCGGCCAGGACCTCAGCATCCTTACCTCCCTCCTGCCCCGCGTGCAGGGCCCGCTGTGCGCAGGCGCCTGCGGAGGGTGTCGCGGCCTCACCCCGGCGCGTGGGACCCCCGGGCCGTGGGAACAGCGGCTGGAGGAGCTTCCGGCCTCTCACTGCCCCCCTGGAAGCCCTGCTCCAGCCCCGCCCGGACTTAACCTACTTAAAGGTCATCCCTCTAGAATGTTCGAGTTCTATTCAGTCTCGTCATGAAAAGCCAACAGACAAAGCGGGAGTCTGGTTTCAGGGGGTTATTGTTCGATGGGTCCAGGGCCTCAGTTTTGGATGATGAACAAGTTCTGGAAAGATAGTGGGGCCGTCCCCGCACAATGCACCCCGCTCCGTGCAGCGAGGGGGGCCAGGGAGGCACCGGAGGCCGGCTGCTGGGAGGGAACAGATGGAGGGGCCACAGGGCGGAGGGACTGGGAAGGGAGGCCTCCTCTCCTGTCACCCCTCCTGCCTCCGTCTCCCCTTCTCACCCTGGCCTTCCTGCCGCCACCCTCCATTCCTCCTCGTCTCTGCTTCCCCCCTCCATCGCCTCCCTCCTCCCGGAAGCAGAGAGTGACACCCCAGGAGGTTCACCTGCTGTCATTCAGGGTCAAAGAAGTTGCCACAGTTGAGGTTCCATGGTTGTAATGTACCCCGCGAATCACAGAAGGACGCCTCCAGAAGTCGAATTGAAGAGTCACATTGATTGCAATCCGGGACTATGAGGGGCCATTCTGCTTTCCCAAATCTCATACTAATAAGATGGTCGCAACACAAGACTGATACAGGCAAAGATCACAAAGGTATTGATTACATCCCCAGGTTTGGAATGAGGAACCTGGTTTGCAAAAAAGCAGTTTACAGAAGCAGAAGCAGCATGTTGTGTCTAAATTACAGTTTTGGGTCTCTGGATCCCTGAATTGACAGAAACACATTATCTAGAGCCCTCCGGTCTGGCATGAGGAACCTGGTCAGACTTAGCCTGTTATCTAAAGCACAGTTTTTGTTTTGGGTCTCTGAACACTGAGTCCACAGGCACACGTTAACTGGAGCCCTCTGACCTTGGGATAACCGTGCTGTCCTTCCCAGGGAAGGGAAAATGTGCTTTCTAAGGCCAGTATGACCACAACCCAGGGGATATTCACATAATCAATAGGGTATTCAATCGAATGGGGTGATTTATATAATTCAGAAAACCAAAATAACCTGTCTATTGTTAAACAAAGCAAATAAGTACAGAAGCCAAACAGCAGGGTTAAAGGTAAACTGTAGTTTCTACCTGAGATGGTTGCTACCATACTCACCATGTTCAAGACAAACAGGCCCGAGAGGCTCAGTGGTTGAGCATCAACGATTCCTGGTCATTGTGGGCTCCATCCCCAGCAGGGGCCGTGTAGGAGGCAGCCGATCGGTGATTCTCCCTCATCATTGATGTTTCTCTCTCTCGCTCCCTCTCCCTTCCTCTCTGGCATCAGTAAATATATATATATATTAAAGGGAAACCGTCCCGAGAGGGTGGCTGGGAAGAGGGGAGAGGCCTCAATGGGGTTCGTGACCTTCGCAGGACGTTGACGTGGGCTGGGCACCCCTTGGGAGAGGGTCCCACTGCTTCCTCCAGGCTCGGGGAGAGAGGGGCAGGCAGTGTCCGGGCTCGCCGCCTGTCCCCTCGGCCACCGGCTGCTTAGTTGTGGCTCCACAGTCGCGCGGGTCCTTGATCTGGGGAAGGACGGGGTGTGAAGGCTGCTGTCGGGGAGGGCGGGGTGACACCACGATGCACTCCAGCCTCACATTCCAACTTTGCTGCTTACCCGGGACTTGGGACACTTACGATGGTGTCATCCGGGCGCAGCCCAGTTCCTTTGCGGCTGGTTCCCTGTGAAATGCCAAGGCCCAGCTCCCCACGGACACGCGGTACTTTCTCGCCCGAGGAGTCATTTTCTCAGCACACGGCCCTGTCCCCACGAAGGACAGAACCTCTAGATGGTGCTGAAAAGCGGCCGCCTCTCTCTTGAACTGGCAACGAAGACACATCTGGCCGACAGGCGTTCCCTGCAGCAGGACTGACAGCGTCAGCACAGTGAGCGGAGAGCGGAGCCAGCGGGATTGTTCTCGTTTTTCTAGTTGGGATGTAAACCGGGGAGGGCAGGGCGGACTCTGTGCAACACTGCCTCCCCGCACGTGGCACCAGCAGCCGTTCCCCAAGCCTGGCCTGGGGAAGGGATGGGAAAAACCAGGCTGGGAACAGAATGCAAAGAATGCAGGTTGGAGGGCTGCCCTTTGCCGACCTTTCTGCTCGGTCACGCAGTAGCCGCGGGGCCGGGAGGCCGGAGCCCTGGCGGCGGGACTCAGATCCCGCCGGAGGATAAGAGCCTGATTGGGGCGTCCACGTGCACACCCCGTGTTTAGAGTTCAGCGGAAAGGTGTCCATTAGAGACATTTCTAGAGCCACTCCTGGCTTCAGCACCGGGTTTTTCCTCCCTGTTTTCTTCGTGTTGATCCTCACCCAGGGACATTTTTCCGTGGATTTTCTTTAGAGAGAATGAGGGGGGTGGGGAGGAAAACATCACAGAGAGACACAGCGACTGGTGGCCTCCCGCACCCGCCGGACGGGCCGGGGTGGGACCTGCCACCGTCTCTGAGAAGTGTTGACAGCCCATCAGGTGAAGCAGGGACGCTCCCAGGGGCTCGCAGGTCCCGGGGGGGCCAGGCCCTGGGGGTCGTCACTGCGGGGCCGGCAGCTGAGGCGACGGGAAGTGAGGGGGCACGGAACTCCCACCAGAGACCTGGCCGCTTTCTCCCCTGCCTGCTCGTTTCTTTCCATGAAAAGACGCCAAAGGCATTGACACGGAGGCTTGTTCTAGAAGACACAAGGCGGACGGTCACCAGATGCCGCGGCCGGGCACGGCCAGCACCCGCCCCGCCATCGCTGGTGGAGGACTGACACCCTGAGAGGCGCGCCGGCTCCCGGGTCTGCGTGTTTATGCGGCAGAGGAAGCACAGCCAGTTCTGGGCGGAATTCTTCATTTTGCTCAGTTTCTGCCGTTTCTGCTCCTGCTGCTGTGCTGGGGGGCAGGGCAGTGCCATGAGGGGGGCACAGGCCTCCGGCTGCTGCAGGAGCCTCAGCTGTGGCACCGCCGTCCGCATCACCCCCGTGACCTGTGCTATCGGCACCCGAGGGCGGGCGTACCCTTGGGGGAGGCAGTGCCCTTGAGCCCGTGACGCTCTTGGCTGGGTGAGGCTGGACCCCTCAAATATTGACCGAGTGACGGGAGCCCAGCGCTGCGTGGGGAAGGCGACACTCGGACCTGCCAGTGGGGCTGGAGGGGGCGAGGGCTCAGCCCGGGAAGTGCCCAGCCAGGAGCCGGCTGCAGCCCCCACCGCTCTCCAGGGTCAGACACGAGCAGAAGTGGCCACGGTTCCTGTCCTTGTTCCCATGGGAAAGCCTGGTGGCCTCCCTGTAGGAGGGACCTCACCTTCTCTGGCTGGTGAGCGTCTGCAGGGGCCTCACACGCCGGCAGTTTAAAGCTTCTAACTGTGGGGACGGACACACGTGCGCGGTGGAGGGGCGGGAGACAGGGCTGGGGTGAGGCTCCCCAAGCACCCACTGTCCCCAAGCCCACGCAGTCCCCAGCGGTCCTCACAGAGGTCCCCACGGAGGTCCCCACAGCGGTCCTGACTCACCTGCCCCCCCCCCCCCGCCCCAGCAGTACAAGCAGAACCAAACCTCACACCTTCTATACGTTTTATTTTTTAAATGTTTTTATTGATTTGAGAGAGGGAGACATCGATCAGCTGCCTCCTGCACGCCCCACACTAGGGATGGAGCCCGCAACCTGGGCATGTGCCCTGACCGGGAACCGAACCGTGACCTCCTGGTGCATGGGGTCGCTCAACCACTGAGCCACACAGCCAGGCAGTTTCTATAAGATTTTGAAGGACGGTTTAGGCTCCGCCGGCATGTGGCTGTTTGGACCCGGCTGTTGGCTTGGGGCGTCCAGGCACTGGGCCGGGCGGCTGGAGGCCTGGTGCACTGACTGTCCACAGGCCCAGGGCCCGGCGGCTGGGGCGGCTGGAGGGGCTCTGACCCGTCTTGCTGCCGCCTGGCCTGTGGAGACGGCGCCCCCACGAAGCCCTGCTTTCCCCCTTCTCTCTGAAGAAGGAAACGTCTTTCCCTTTTCACTGTTGAGAGGAGGAGCCTTATGCCAGCCCCTGCAGCTGCGGCTGCGACTCCAGGGCCCCGGGTGGGAGGGTGGCCTCCCCGTTGCTGACAGATCCTCGTATGATCAGCCAAAAGCTTACCCAGTTCTTGTTGTGACCATTGAACTCCCGATTATCCCCCTGAATAGATTGGAGGTGGGGGGGGGGGGGAATGGGCGGTGAGACAGAAGGCGCCCGTCTCCTGCCAGCGCCTGGGGTCAGCCTGGCCTCTGTTCAGACGCGCGTTACCGAGGAAAAGCCGGGTCCCAGGGAGAGATGGGCCCAGCGGCTCTCACGAGGGGCTGCGGCTGGAGGAGCCAGAGCTGCCGGCGGAATCTCTCCTTCCGGCCACTCGGCGGAGGGGCCGCTGCCTCTCCTGACACTGAGCCAACGGGGCTGCACAGGCGACTCCATGGGAAGGTGGCGGCCGGACCACCGCTGCTTCGTAACACACTCCCCAGAACGCGGTGGAAGGGCGTGTGGCTCTGCGCGTGGACTCGGTGGTCAGATTCAGGGGTGCAGCGGGGAGGGTCTCCCTGTTGCAGCCGAGCCTGGGCTGGGGGGACAGGAAGGCTGCCGCCCCCGATGGGTTTCTCTCCTCCCAGCCCAGCCAGGCGCCTGGCCAGGTCTCTTCAGGGGCCGAAGACCTCTCCCCCCCTGCTCGCTGGCCGCAGGGTCTGGGAGCCCCAAGCCAGGGGATGGCCCCACTGCAGGATGGTGAGGGGCTGCTTAGGGCGTTTCTGTTCGTCCCTCATGGGGCACACGTGGGCAGGACAGCCCCATGTGGAGCTCCTCGGGGTCCCCCTCCAGCCTGGGTTCGCCCTCCCTCCTGCCCATGGTCCCCCTCCCGCCAGGCGCGGCTCCCCGGGACTCCCGGCTGTGCTGAGAGGGAGCTGGCCGGCGCCCAGGCCCGAGGACAGCGGAGGCACCGGTCACATCCCCGGGCGGTGGGGCTGGGGCCGCCCGGAGCAGACCAGCAGCCTGAGTGAACCAGTCCAGGTCACCAGGCCCCCGAGAGGCGCTGGGGCTGTTTCCACGGATGGACACGAGGTCACGACCGGCAGGCTCGTCCCCACGAGCAGCGAGACGGGGTCAGAGGGGAGACTCTCCAAGGCCCCACTTCACCCAAACCTGGAGCCTTTTGACTTCTACGCTTAATGGAAAGGCTCTTCACCTGGTCCAACAGAAACCCAGCCCGGCCGCGTGGCTCCGTGGCTGAGCGCCGGCCTAGGAACCAGGAGGTCAGGGTTCGATTCCAGGTCAGGGCACAGGCCCGGGTTGCAGGCTCCATCCCCTGTAGGGGTGTGCGGGAGGCCGCCAATTACAGGAGAGATTTCAAAAGATCTTCAGGCTGGAGGCCAAGTGCCCCGGAAGCGAAGTTGAACTCAGACACCGGTTGTGCTGAGGCTGGAGCCGCGATCGGCTGCCTGGAAGCAGCCCCGCCTGAGGCTCCCCACGGGATCGAGGCCGGGAGTGGGCGGGCGGAGCAGCACCGTCTACGTCTTCTCTCTAAAGCAAGCACGTCGGACTCACAGGCTCACACGGCCCAAATGAACAAGGTTTATGTGGATGTGGCTGCAAAAAACCAAAAGCTTCAACTGTCATAGAAACGTAGGTTTATTTCGATAGAGACATGCTGAATACATGGGCTGAAATAAATGAGTCACCGTTAACATAAAGTAATAGAACATTTTAATAGAAATTAACATTTTTTCTTGAACATTAACTTACCAGACACTGAATAGCTGCACAAATTAATAAGCGTCACGCAAATAAACCTATTTTTCTTGTTCTCCGAAAGCAAAATATTTCCTGTTGTGCACACCAAACAAGTCAGTCCAAGACTAATGACGTGCTAATATTTTATCGGCTGCTAAAATATTCGCTGCTGGAATTAGTGGGGAGAAATGGTGCGCCTGCGCGTAAGGCGTGTGAGGGAAATGAAGGCAACACAATGATAGTCATCAGTCATCAGCGAACGTTGTAGTTCGTTATAATTATGTATAACAGGATATTATAAAAATTAAGTTATGAATATTTTTTTAATATATTTTTATTGATTTCAGAGGGGAAGGAAGAGGGAGAGAGAGAAACATTCATGATGAGAGAGAATCATTGATCGGCTGCCTCCTGCACGCCCCCTACTAGGGATGTGCCCACCACCCCTGGCACGTGTCCTTGACCGGAATCGAACCTGGGGTCCTTCAGTTCACAGGCTGACGCTCTATCCACTGAGCCAAACCGGCCAGGGCCAGTTAAAGAATTTTTATTAAAATGTTTCTTACATACCGTTATATCGGTTGTGGGCCTCATGCGGCCGCGGGCCATGAGTTTGACATGCTTGCTCTATAACAGAGGCACAGTCTCACCCCCACGTGTTAGCGTGTTGGCTGCGTGTAACCGGAGCAGGCACCTGTCACACGATCCGCCCCAGGTACACGGACGTGGGGTACTTCCTCTTCAGGGCGGGCCACTGCACCAGGAAGTAGTCGGCGAAAGGGCGCAGGATGCGCCCCGTCAGCGACAGGTGCTCCACCCGGCAGAGGCTCTCCACGTAGACCACGGTCACGCGCTTCACGCCCAGCACGCCCAGGAGGACGGCCGCCGCGCAGATGGGCACGCAGGTCCCGGGCCCGTTACACAGCACCTGCGAACACAGGGGGCGCGTGGAAGGGCGTGGGTGGGAGAGAGACAAGGGTGGGAGAGAGACATGGTGACTGGTTGCCTCCCGCACGCACCCCGACAGGGTGATGACCCCACAACCCAGGTAGGTGTCCTTGACCAGAAATCGAACCCTTTGGTGAGCAGGCAGACGCTCCAACCACGCACCCCACCAGGACCAGCGGCTGTTCTATGCGCGGCGTTTGCGTTACAGGCGGTGACACCGAAGGAGGGACT